GCGCGGCCGCAACTAGGCTTTCAGGGCGCTGAGGAGCGGCAGCAGCGGCAGCAGCAGCAGCAGCAGCAGCAGCAGCAGCAGCAGCAACAGCAGCAGCAGCAGCAGCAGCAGCAGCAGTGGTACCCGCTGCCGCCGGCCCCCCCGCAGTTGCCGCCAGGGCTTGTAAGCGGCGGCGGCGCGGCTGCCGTAATGTCGATTCTCTCAGAGGCCGAGTTGTTGGACTCGATGCTTGCTGACCTGGCGGGGTGGCCGTCGGGCGGAGCCGGCGGCATCAGCTTGGCGGCGGCCGCGGCCGCAGCTGCGGTGCCCGCCGCCGCCTGGCAGCAGCAGCAACAGCTGCAGCAGCAGCTGCAGCAGCAGCAGCAGCTGTGGCTTGCGCAGCCCGCACTGGGGGCAGGGCCACAGCCAGTCGTTGTGAGCTTGCAACATCAGCAGCAGCAGCAGCAGCAACAGCCTGGAAAGCAGCAGCCGCGCCCTGCCGCATTGGCACTCCCTTCTATCGCAATCCAGCGACCAGAGCCAATGGCAATCGACACCACCCCCTACCAGCAGCACCAGCACACATCGCCGCCCGCGCCAGCGCTTGCACCGCCGCCGCCCACCGCCGCTGCCCCGGCGCCCCCCCGCGCGCAGCCGCCGTTGCCGCCATCCTCTGACGACGCGACCGACTCCGCTGCCGCGCCCGGCGCCGCGCCCGCGCCGGCGCCCGCGCAGCCGCTGCTGCGGGGCGCCGGCGTGCCGTTTGGGAACGTGCCGAGGCCGCCGTCGCGCGCCGCGCTGCGGGCGCTGCTGGGGCGGTCGTACCACCAGCTCGGAATGTCGCGGCCCCTGGCTGAGAGCGACCTGGCGGCCCTTGAGTGCGCCGCGGGCTTCCGCGGCCCCGAGGCTGAGGGGCCGGCGGGCGCCGCCGCGGCCGAGGAAGCGGCAGGCGAGGCAGCGGCGGCGGCGGCGGCGCAGGCGGAGTGGGAGCGGTTTTTGGCCGTTTGGGTCCAAACGCTCAGCCTGCTGAGGCTGATCCAAAAGGTGGGTGCAGCTGCAGCAAAGACGTCGAGGGGGGCCCAGGGCGTGGCGCTGCAGCCGCAAGAGCATCCTGAGCGCACCAGCGGCGAGGGGCGGGGCGTCTTGCTCCATCCGGCTGAGCCAGGGGAGCGGGGCTCAGCTTTGTCGCCGCAGCTGACAGGTCCCACTTCAGCCTTTTCACCTATCAGTCGCGCGCGCCCCCGCTCTTTCTCTCACACACAAACATACACACACATCCATATACACACATGCTTAAGCACCCTGCCTCGCTTGATTTCGAAATCCATCCTCTGTCACCAACCTTCCTATCTCACACACCC